AAAAAAAAAAAAAGAAAAAGAAAAAATGTAATCTATGCTTGATCGGCGTACATGAATGTGACAGGGAGAAAGAATCCAAGTTGGAATACACTCTTCAAGATATTATCCAAAAGAACTTTCCCAACCTAACAAGGCAGGCCAACATTCAAATCCAGGAAACACAGAGAACACCACAAAGATGTTCCTCAAGAAGAACAACCCCAAGGCACATGGTTGTCAGATTCACCAGGGTTGAAATGAAGGAAAAAATCCTAAGGGCAGCCAGAGAGAAAGATCGAGTCACCCATGAAGGAAAGACCATCAGACTCACAGTGGATCTCTTGGCAGAAACCCTGCATGCAAGAAGGGAGTGGGGGCCAATATTCAACATCCTTAAAGGAAAGAACTTTCAACCCAGAATTTCATATCTGGCCAAACTAAGCTTCATAAGTGAAGGAGGAATAAAATCCTTTATGGAAAAGCAATTGCTGAGAGATTTCGTCACTATAAGACCTGCCTTACAGGAGATACTGAAGGAAGTACTAAGCAGGAAAAGAAAAAACCAGTACCAGCCACTGCAAAAAACACACCAAATGGTAAAGAATAACAAGGCAATGAAGGAGCCACATCAATTAATGGGCAAAAACACCAGCCAGTAACAAAATGGCAGGATCAACTTCAAACGTAACAATATTAACATTGAATGTAAATGGCCTAAATGTCCCAATCAAAAGACACAGACTGGCAAACTGGATAAAAAGTCAAGACCCATCAGTGTGCTGTATTCAGGAGACCCATCTCACATGCAAAGACTCACATAGACTCAAAATAAAGGGATGGAATAAGATTTAACAAGCAAATGGAGAGCAAAAAAAAAGCAGGGGTAGCAATCCTAGTCTCTGATAAAATAGACTTTAAACCAACAAAGATCAAAAGAGACAAAGAAGGGCATTACATAATGGTAAAAGGATCAATGCAAGAAGAAAAGCTAACAATCCTAAAAATTTATGCACCCAGTGCAGGACCACCCAGATACATAAAGCAAGTTCTTAAAGACCTACAAAGACACTTAGACTCCAGCACAATAACAGTGGGAGACTTTAACTCTCCACTGACAATACTGGCAAGATCAACGAGACAGAAAATCAACAAGGATATCCAGGACTTGAATGCAGATTTGGACCAAGCAAACCTAATAGACATTTACAGGACACTCCACCCCAAATCCACAGAATATACATTCTTCTAAGCACCACATTGCTCTTACTCCAAAATTGACCACATAATTGGAAGTAAATCACTCCTCAGCAAATGCAAAAGAATGGAAATCATAACAGCCTCTCAGACCACAGCACAATCAAATTAGAATTCAGGATTAAGAAAAGCACTCAAAACCACACAATCACATGGAAACTGAACAACTTGCTCCTGAATGATGAATTGATAAACAATGAAATGAAGGCAGAAATAAAAATGTTCTTTGAAACCAAAGAGAATGAAAACACAACGTACCAGATCCTATGGGACACATTTAAAACAGTGTCTAGAGGAAAATTTATAGCAATAAATGCTCACATGAGAAGGAAGGAAAGAACTAAAATCACACCCTATTGTCGAAAGAGCTAGAGGAGCAAGATCAAGAAAACTGAAAAGCAAGCAGAAGACAAGAAATAACTAAGATCAGAGCAGAACTGAAGGAGATAGAGACACAAAAAACCCTTCAAAAAATCAATAAATCCAGGAGCTTATTATTTGAAAAGATCAACAAAATAGACACACTGCTAGCTAGACTAATAAAAAAGAAAAGAGAGGAATCGAATAGCTGCAATAAAAAACAATAAAGGGGAGATCACCACTGATTCCTCGGAAATACAAACTACCATCAGAGATTACTACACACAACTCTAAGCACATAAACCAGTAAATCTGGAAGAAATGGATAAATTCCTGGACACTTGCACACTCCCAAGACTAAGCCAGATGGGTTCACAGCTGAATTCTACCAGATATACAAAGAGGAGCTGGTACCATTCCTGTTGAAACTATTCCAAACAAAACAAAAAGAGGGAATCCACCCTAACTCTTTCTATGAGACCAACATCATCCTGATACCAAAACCTGGCAGAGACACAACTAAAAAAGAAAACTTCAGACCAATATCCATGATGAACATTGATGCAAAAATCTTCAATAAAATACTGGCAAACCAATTGCAACAGCACATCAAAAACTTACCCACCACAATCAAGTAGGCTTCATACCGGGGATGCAAGGCTGGTTCAACACATGCAAATCCATAAATGTAATTCACCACATAAACAGAACCAAAG